TGTGAACAAACACTGGGGGCGGATGGTGCAGCATGGTGGGAGACAGATGGAAGGGCCACCTGGAGGGTGACCAACTTCCTGAAGCACATACCTAAACCTGTCTCATTACTTTTAGGTTGAACCTGAACTATATCCCTCCTGGAACTTCCCCCATCCTCCACTGTAGGGAGGCCTATGGTCTGGTGGACAGGCAGGCAGTCCTCCACTCACTGAAGACTGAGCTTCCAAAAACTGTTATCTAGGTCGGTTGATTGGATCTGGGCATGCATTTTCCACGGAAACAAAGTTATACATAGTGATTAGCGTAGGTGTAGTAAGACTGAAATATGTGTGTGTTGAGCAGGGTTAGGGGTGGTACATGGATTACTTTAACATGGTTGTGGTAGGTGGACCCTAAGCAAGTAAGAAACTTCATGAAAAATTAATATTTTTTCAAGTAAGTTATTTTAAAAATTCATAGGAAAGTCGTGTTTCTATGATATTCAACTGGAAGATATCAACTGGATTCATTAACCGGAAGTTGATGAGAAATGGTCCCAGGACGTTACACTGAGAGTTAGGCTCCCGGACTATCCTAGAAGAACTACTGGTGACCCTGAGCCGTGTCTCCCCCTAGAGTCCAGGACCAGAAGCATGAGGCCTGTTGGGGCTTCAGCCACACAGCACTGGAGAGACTTGGGGCTTCACTGCCACAGGTCTAGGGGTGTGTCTAATGTCTTTAGGGCATGGAAGCTTAGCTGAGGTCCAGGCAGCCATCATGGCCAGGTGGCCAACCAGGGGTTAGGGCACCACAGTGAGATCTAGGTGGGAGAAAATATGCAAAAGTAGGCAGGTGGCTGGGGTATGTTTCAAGCAGGACCTAAGGAACTGCCTGGTAGATTTGGAAGCAGCATCTAATCCCCCAAAGAGGGGTCTGGAAGAGCTTGGTTTGGTGTCAGGTTCCACAAGACTGGCTGAGATCCAGAAACAGGTCTCAAGCTGTGTAGGCAAATTGATACAGGGGCCGAGTGCTGTGAGCTGAGCCAGTATGGCCAGGATCTCAAATGGTATGATTTGCATGGTTCATACATAGCTAAGAATCAATTTTCCTTCCTTCCTACGTTCCTTCCTTCTTTCCTTTCTTCCTTTCTTTCCCTCTCTCTCCCTCTTCCCTCTTTCTTCCCTCCTTCCTTCCTCCCATCCTTCCCTCTTTCTTTCATTCATTCACACTGTGTGCCAAGCCATTTCCTAGGTGGTGAGGACATCATGATGAACACAATTCCTACCCTCACAGAACTTAAAGTTTATGGTGGGAGGGGTCTAGACACATAACAATGGTTAAATTCATAATGATATAATTATAATTGTGGACCATGTTCCAAAGAGGTATAGCATTTAACAGCATTAAGAGGGAATCTAATCAGTCTGGTGGTGGAGGGGGAGCACTCAGCAAGGCTTCCCTGGGAAGTGGCTTCCAAGCTGAGACTCGATGAATGAGAAGTCAGCCAGGCAAAAAGGAAGAAGGGGATAAGAAGAGTAAGAGTATTCTAGACATAGGTAAGCACCAGTGCCATGTCATCAAGGCAGGGAGGAGGATGGCATATTCCAGAAACTTGCTGGAGAGAGTGAGCAATGGGACGAGGTGTGAAATAGCAGGAGCAGATCTTTGGGTACAAGTCTGGGGCTATTCACAGTGGCCTAGGCTACCAAGGCCTCTGAGTGGAGCTGAGTCTTTAGGTATTAATAATGATGATAGTAATGATAATAACAGTTACCTCATATAAAGCACTTTCTATGTGTCAATGCTTGCTATGCCTCATGTCGTCCAATTTTCACAACTCCCCTAAGGTATTAGTGCAGTTATCTTCCCATGTGACAAATGAAGAAGACAAGGACTGGAGAAATAAATGAACGTATCTAAGGTAATACAGCCAACAAGTGAAGGAACTCGAACTTGATCCATGGCCTGCCTGATTCCAAAACTTTTGTTCTGAAAACTTTCCCCTACTGCCTTTTGGCATCAGTGACTCTTGCTGAGAGGGGCTGAGGAGGCTGTCTCCAACACTTTAGCTCCTCTGAGCCCTGAGAAGTGTGGGGACATGGAAGTGGGATGAGGGACAGGGCGCTGGTACTTCTGGCTGTGGTAGAGAGTTGTTGGGGTGAACTCCAGTGGCGGAGGTGGCAGGGACGCACTGAACTTGTTCATATGCATGAATCATTTGTAGGTGAGGATTAGTCAGAGGCTGTCTGCATTGTTACGGAAGTAGTGGGCTGGGTATATACTCAACCTGAAGCTGTGAGGGCTGGATTTTTTTCTCTCATGTTGACATTGTGAACCATGGAAGGCAAGTCAACTTTTGGGGGTGACTTTTAAGTGAAAAACATCTTCCCTAATGCTTGCAGGTGACTTTGAGGATTGTGGAGGAAAAGTACACTTTAGAGAACTTACGATATCCTTGACCAGATATGCCCAAAGCCAGAACGTCTCACTAGCAGAAGAAATCTAGCACTCCATTGTGTACCTGGAGAAGATTTAAAGTTAGTCGGGGAAGGAATTTATCATGAAGGTAACTCAGAGTCTTCCTGGCAGAGCAGGAAGATCACGCCTGTGATTCAGAGAGAACTTCCAAGCCTCTTGAGTACAGTAGAGTTGGAAAAAACCTAAAACTGACTTTGGTGAGATAGACACCAAAATGGCAAAAACAAAAATGATTGCAGAATTTAGAAGAAGCAAAATCACTGTCCCTCTCAGGGCTAACACTCCTACCTTAACGATAGCCCTGGTGGTGTGTTCCCCTATAATTTTCAGGGTGTCTGACCATGTGGATGGGATGCTTCCCACTTCAGTTTGATCCTAATATTAGTGATCCACGTATAATTGCTATTCAAACACCAAAAGGTAGAACAGTCATGGGATGTTTGACCTGCAAGGGACATCCTTCTATTTGTGCAACCAAAATTTTCAAGAATATGTTAGTACCAAGCATTTCTTTAGGCCTGTTACATGTCATCTCTATTGGTCCAGGGACTAGTCCAACCCTCACAGTTAGGATTAGGAAGTGCTTGTTAACAATACTGTATTGTATACTTAAAAGCTGCTGAAAGAGTAGACCTTAAATGTTCTTATCGCAAAAAAGAAATGGTAATTATATAACATTATGGAGGTGTTGGCTAACACTATGGAGGTAATCATTTTGCAATACAAAAAAAAACGAGATTAGGAAATCATCTTGCCCCAGGTCCACAGTTGTTAGCAGCTGTTTTTGTGGCTATCAACAGTTGGGGTCCCCTTCCTTCTTTTAGGGATCATCAGTTCAGCAAGGACTGAGTATAGAATATTGTAAAAGAAACTTCTGAGCATGCGGGGAAGCCCTGCACTAACTTATGCAGCTCGAGTCTCAGCTCGAGGAGGCAGTGTGGCCCATGGGAAGGAGCTCGGGCTCTCCCAGTGCAAATCAATTTCCTAGCTGTGACCTCGGGCAAGGTCCTCTGAGCCAAGGTTTTCTTGCCTGGATAATAGAAAAAAATCGATCTTCCTCACTGCAATTGTTGTGAGGATTAAACGAAATATTTAGCAACAAGATTGAGGGCAAGTTTTAATGATCTTATATATAATTTTTGGTACATTGTACATTTTCTGAAACGTAGATATCATAAACATCATCAGATTTTTTTTTAATTAAAAAAGAAGTAAAGAGATTAGCATGTCTAAAACTTTCACTCCTGTGCCTGGCACACAGAAAACTAACATGAACCTTAATGATTAATAATAAGCAGAGTGCCCCCTAGGAAGCAGGCATGTCCAAGCAAGTGTGGGAACTGGAGGTGCAGCCCACTATGGCTATATTTGCATGAGGGTCTGAGGCTACTCCTGGGATAGAATTTGTGCTAAAGAAAGAGAATTGAAGTTCCCAAGTCAGATCAAGGGCAGTCGGTCAAAGCTGGAGGGGACAGGTGTTATCAAGCACAGCCCTGTCTGTCACATAGACTGATGCCCCTCCCTTCTACCCAGGGTCCGCTGTCCTAGGCCCCATGGACTCCTGCCTGAATTCTAGCGAAGGGAGTAACAAGACCAAAAAGCCATTTCCTAAAATCTCTGCAGACTTTGAGAGCTTTAAGCAGTCTAGTTTGTAACCTTTTAACCTCCTGTACACAAGGGGAATAAAAGGGATTTTCCCTTCCCCACCACTGAAGAGGTGTCTGCTGGAGTCTAAAGAACTGGGCACCCAGAACTGAGAAGATGTCTTAGTGGTGGTGTCTTCATGTAGTAGCCTACAGGGCAGACTTTATTGTGGGGGGAAAAGGACAGGAGGAAAACAGCAGCCATGTGGTACCTGAGGGGATTAGCTAGGCACATGGAGGACATTTTTCTGGGGATGTGAGTTCTATTTACAAAAAATTTGTTGAAGACCTCAGAGTGTTTCTGAATGGTCACCTGGGGTGTAATCTGGGGGCTGGGCCATGTGGGGCGAGGTCTCCTGAGTGGGTGAGGCCTGCCCTGTTGGTTGGTGGGTAAGCAAGTGAACCTGTCCTGTTTTCCTCTATTGGGTTTTCCTTGTGGCCTTAACAATTGCTATGTCAACAAGTTACCTTTTAAAAAATGCTGAATAGGCAATGCTTTAGGGGAATGTGCTGAGGGAGAGCAAAAATCCCCTTCCTCTATCTCAGCTATACTTTTTTTAAATTCATTTTTTTAAAATTGTGGTTAAAAAAATATGTATATAAATAAATAAGATAAAATTTGCCATTTTAACCACTTTTCAGTGTACAATTCAGTGGCAGTAAGTCATGAAGATTTTCCCCAATGTTTTCTTCTGAGTTTTACAGTTTTAGCTCCTAAGTGTAGTTCTTTAAGTTAATTTTTAATTTTAAGAGTCCAACTTTTTTTGTGTTGATTTTGTACCCTGCAACTTCGCTAAATTTGTTTATTAGCTCTAGAGTAGCTTTCTTTCTGTGGATTCTTTGGGATTTTCTATGTATAGGATCACGTCATCTGCAAATAGAGATAGTTTTACCTCTTCCTTTCCAATTTGGACGACTTTTATTTCTTTTTTTGCCTAGTAACTCTAGCTAGAACTTCTAGTACAATGTTGAAGGGCATCAGTAATATAGAATTCTCAGTTGACAGTTTTTTTTTTCTTTCAACAATTTAAATACATCATCTCACTGCCTTCTGGCCTCCATGTTTTCTGATGAGAAATCAACTATTAATCTTATTCAGGATCCCTTGTATATGATGAGTCACTTCTCTCCTGCTACTTTCAGGATTCTCTCTTTTTCTCTTAGGTATGTAGATTTATACCTTTAATCAGATTCGGGAAGTTTTTCATCATTAATCTATAAATATTCTTTCTGCTCCTTTCTCTCTCAATTCTCCTTCTGAGACTCCCATAAAGCACATGTTGGTTCACTTTATGGTATCCCACAATTCCCTTAGGCTCTGTTCACTTTTCATTTTTTTTCTTTCTGCTCCTCAGACTGAATACTTTCAACTGTCTTACCTTCAAGTTTGCTGACTCTTTCTTCTGCATCCTCAAATCTAATGTTGAACACTTGTAGTGAATTTTTCATTTCAGTTATTGTATTTTTCAGCTACTGAATATCTGTTTGGTTCCTTTTTACAATAGTCTCATTTTTTTCATACATTGTTTTCCTGATTTCCTTTAGTTCTATGTCCATATTTTCCTTTATTTCTTTGAGCATTTTTAAGACAGTTGTTTTAAAGTCTTTGTCTAGTAAGTCTGATAGCTACACATCCTCAGGGGTAGTTTCTGTCCATTTAATTTGTTCCTTTGAATTAGTCAAACTTTCCTGTGTCTTTGTATGCCTTGTGATTTTTTGGTTGAAAACTGGACATATGAATATTATAATGTCATAAATCTGAAAGTCAGAATCTCTTCCCTTTCCCTAAGATTTACTGTTTTTTGTTATTGTGTTTTTTCTGATTGTTGAAGGCTATAATTGTTTAGTGACTTTCCAAATATCTTCATAAAGATTATTCCTGGTCATGTGTGGTCACTGAAGTCTCTGTTCCATTTGCTTATGTTTAGCTAATGTTTGACAGAAATGTCCTTCAATGCCAGAAGTTAATGTAAAACAAAACAAAACAAAAAAATTGGAAAAGAAAAACACAAAAAGCAAACACCTCTCTTGATCTTCACAAATTAAGCTCTCTGCTGGGGCACTCCAACACTTAGTCAGGCTTGCTCTGAGCCTAGGGATTGGCACAAGATGAAAGCTTAGTGTCTTCTTAGGTCTTTTGTGAGCATGAGTCTTGTCTTGATCATGCGCATGGCTTTTTAAATTCCCCTGTATATCCAGGTACTTTTAAAGTCCTAATCTCCCAAAGGATTTGACCCAGCTTTTCCTCCTGGGCCTTAGCCAATCTATTATATATCTGGACCATAATCTTTTGCCCCAGACTTCTGTGTGTTGTTAGTTCACCTAGCAACATTTCTGAGCAATGCCGACTGCTTTTCTGGCCTGAGGTCTGAGTTGGACAAAACTGAGACAAGCATCTTCAGGTAACCCAGACAGGTTAGGACAGACACACACAATAATGTGTGAACAAGATCTGCTCTGCTCCTTCTGGAACCCAGGACCAGGGTCCCATACTGGGAATATAGGCTGCTATGTCTTCAAAACTGCCTTCATATTGGGGAGGAGGTGAAGTAAGGGAAAGTAAAAATGCCACAAAACTTTCTTACTATTTCCAAGTTGCTTTTTTCTTGATTCAGCATTTACTTGGTTGCTGTGAACCTTTGGCAATTTTTAGAGTTCTGACAAGGTTGGTTCTGACAGTTTCAGCTTGTTTTTTTGGTGTTTCTGTGGAGAAACAAGAGTTTGCAGCTATGTACTCCTCCCTTTTGCTGACATCACTCAGCTATACTTATGAGAGTGACCTTGTTTTTACCTCTGTACTACTGTGGCCTGGAGAACTGGGTTACACACACAAAATCCACTTTGACTAAATCTTGAGCTGGTGGGTAATACCTGCTTTTTGTAGAATAAGTTGAAAAGGCCATAGGAAACAGACCAGAATCAAACAAAAGATCAATCTCCATAGACCACACTTTTACCTGTTCACAGTTGTAAATAATATGTAAACAGCATCTACATTGCAATGGAAGGGTTGCTAAAATGAGTCTTCATTTACAATCAATAGTAAAATGACACTTTCTAAAGTGTTAGCTTGAATGTTCAACAGTTCTAGTTGGTCCCCTAGACGTGTGTTGGCAAATGGGTTTAACCTCTTATGGTAGTGGCTGCCTAATGCAATGTGTGGAGGGTTGCAAAGCCATGTCCAGCTCAGGGGACAAGAGTTCCATGATCAATTGGTGCTGTTTGTCATGGGCACAGGAGGGAGGAGTCTCAATGTGTATCTATTGCTGTGTAACACGTTACCTCAAAACTTACATTTACTGTCTCTCACAATTTCTGTGGGTCAGGAATATGAGACTAGTTTGATCGGGTGGTTTTGGTTCAAGATATCCTAAGAGATTACAGTCATGATGTCAGCTGGGATTGCAGTCATCTGAAGGCTTGACAGACTGGAAGGTCCACTTCCAAGAAAGCTCACTCAACTGATGCTTGAATTGAAGTTCAGTTGATGCTGGCTCCTGGGACAAGGTCCAGCCCCTCTCCTCCTGGGCCTCTCCATAGGGCCACTTAAGTGTCTTTGAACCTGTGGTTGGTTTCCACCAAAGAAAGCAATCCAAGAGTAAGCCAGACAGAAGCTATCATTTTTATTAACTCAGAGTCATATAGCATCATTTCTGCCACATTCTATTCCCTAAAGCAAGTCACTAAATCTGGCCCATGCTCAAGAGGAGAGGAATTAGGTTTTACCTTTTGAAGGGAGGCATGTCAAAGAATTTATGGACACATTTTAAAACCACAGCATAGCACTCTGCTAGGTGTTTACTGACCTCCAGTTACTACAGAATACCCACTGAATGCTAACACAATCTGAGCAACATAAAGTACTAACTTATTTTAGGAGAAAACATTAATAAAAACTGCATAGTCAAAGAAAATACATATGTATCGTGTACGTGTGTGTGTGTGCATGTGAGATAGGATAGGAAGAATGAGAGCTTCCTGGTTTCTTGGAGAATTGCTCAAAAACAGCTTAAGGGAACTCTAACTCACCATCTCAAGGAATGCTACACCTAAAATCTATCTACTGGGATATTGGCAGAGAGAGAAGGGTATGAAAGGGGTCTGGTTTTGCTCCCTTCACTCTCTTTCCCTCAGAAGGTTCTGCCATAAGGTTAGGATTTCAAGTCCTGGGGAAGACTCTAAGTCGAAAGCAGGCAATTTGAGCACAGCATCCCAGTTAGGTCTAGTCAATGCAAAGATTTCCCTTGCTTAACAGAAACAGCCCAACAGGCCAATGCCACTGGCAAACAGAACTGCAGTGTGGGAGGTACATATGCAAATGTGGACACCTGCATTTAATATTCCTCACTTGGGCTCAACAGAAAAACAACTACTCAAGCACAAAATGGTGATCCTGTTTGCTAAACATTTGGCCCTGAGAATCATGTGGTCTGTGACCTCCTAGTTTTTAAGTATGTCTCCTCTTACATTAAGCAGCAGATTCCTCTTAGCAGGAGAGCACTGCGTACCCTCCAAGTTTGGAAATGGTAGGTTTTCAGAGCTGCGTGAAAATATTTTGTTGACAGCTCTCTGACTGCTTACAGCAGCAGGGTTGTTTACTTGGGCTGGAGCACAGCTCTGTTGAGGCAGAGAGTCTGGTCTCAGCATCAGGAGTGCCTAGCAACAGGTCTACACCATGCTGCAGAATTTCAACATGGGCTGGACCACAAGTATTCATTTTGGGGGATTTCCAGAGTCTTGCTCTCACTCTGTCATATCGCTCCTAAAATCTGAGTCACACAGCCAGATGCAAGAATAATTGTTCAGTGTCCTCTAAAATTCTCTTCTGGGAAAAGTTAAAAAGAATATTTGTGCATTGAGTATATTTCTTTAGGTACTACAGAGAATCGGTCACTCTAGATTATTGAAAATATCTAATTTTAGTTCGAGTCTTATTCTGACAAGCCAGTTTAATATTCAGCAAAGAGGCTGAATGTGTACAGTGATCATTCTATCAACAAAGACAATGCATTTTTAAAATATATTTATCATTAAAAATGTTATTACCATGGAAAGAAATCATGTATTGACATAAAGGTGTATTCTACCAACAACAGATTGGAGGGATTAGACACGATAAAAAAAAGACTAATTTATAATTTATTCATTTGTTAAACATTTATGGAATGACTACTACACTAGACTCTGTAGCTAGAAAAATTAACAAAACATTTGTCACTTACCTTCCTAGAGCTTACAGTGTGACAAGAAGGAGATAATAAGGTGACCCCAAATGTTGTGGGGCAAAATATAACGAGGGTTTGGGAACTGTAGGGTGTAGAGGGAGAAGTTGAAGGACGGGAGAAAAGGTCTGGAGATGAGCGGTGGTTGAGGAGGTGGGTTCTCCATGCTGGAGGGTGAGGACAGGATGTGCGGGACATCTCCTATGTACTCCTGAAAAGAGAGCCAACTGCAACACACCCCTGCCTACCAAACTGGGCATAGAATGCTATTGTGCTTGTATAAAATTATAAGCCTGTATATCTTTGTGGTAAAATTGTTGTTGACATTGGTCCTGCTTTGCATTATTTATGATTTTAAAAAGCAACATTGATTTTATTATGAAGATACTATTTTTCCTCAGAGGGTTTGTTGCAGTTAAAGTCTCAGTGTAGCCACTACTGACTTTGGTTACTTAATCCTTCTATCAAATTTTTTATTCTATTTTATTTTTTTTGCTGAGGAAGATTCAGCCTGAGCTAACATCTGTGCCCTCTTCCTCTAGTTTCTGTGGGTCACTGCCACAGCATGGTGTCTGACGAGTGGTGTAGGTCTGCGTCTGGGAGCCTAGGCCCAGCCACTGAAGCAGAGCACGCCAAACTTAACCATTAGGCCTCAGGGGTGGCCCCAGATCAAATGTTTTTATTAGCTCCTGTGCATTATGTATTCAGGAACTCAAAGTTAAATGGATTTATGTTCAGATCAGATTGGAGCCTGCGTTAGGAATTATGTGTTTTTTCCCTATTTCAGTCTTTAGATACTTTTTGTGGATAAATCCAAGGTTAGCAGGTTAATTTCAATTTATGCCAGTTTGGGTCTTTAACCAAAATATATACAAAGTAGATTACTGATCTTAAAATACTGTCTCTATTCCTCTTTAAGGGCACAAACTAAATCTTTGCATCTTGCTTATTATAGTAACTTTGACAAAACCATGTCCAGAAGATGCTGGATGCATACTTTTTTTGTAATGATAGTGGCATATTCATTGCTGCTAATTCCAGAACTACAGCTAACATTAACTAGTTAATTCAATACCAGCGACATTTGCTGAGTATTTTTAACGTTTTGGAGGAAGCCCAATTTAGGTTTATCTGAAATGTTTGAAATATTGAGTTAAAGAATCATTTCGGATCATAGTTACTCATTCTATTTCCTGTTAAGATTAGCTGGCTAATATCTAGCTAGGATGGGTCAGGTAGCAGGGCAGAGACGAAAGAATAGGGAAAATAGATATTATGTTAAAAGTGTCACAGTTGGATCATTGATAAACTGTTTTAAATAAATAGGAATCTTGAGATAGATAAGGATAATGAAAGAGTTGGACAAGATAATTTTGAGAAAGGTCTAATCTATCAATAAAATTACATGATTTTATATTTAAAGTAGAGAGAAATAAACATGGATGTTTCTTACCTCCTCAACTTAGCTCTTGTTCCTGTCATTGTGTAAGGTTCAAATTTCATAGTACAAAGTGTGTTCTTGAGATCTGGGGTTTTCTCCAAAATAGATAATCATCATCTGTTTTCTAAAGCAATGCCAAGAACATCAACAAATAAAGTTTAATTATTCATTGCTCTGTCTTAAAAATGCTTCTCAATTGTGAAACTCGTTATCATCCATATATTATATTCTTCCTTTAAAATTTGAAATGCCCGAGGCATTATTTCTCATTTCACCTTATTCTTTTCAATGTACTTGTGCTAAGGGTTAGGAAACTGTTTTCACTAATTTGCTGGAAAGGGAAATAGTTGTAGGATCCTCTGAAACTTGAAGCTCTTTGGAGTTGGACAGACCTGACTTCACATTATGTTATACTTCATCCTCTGATTCTATACTGCCTAGTAATGTTAACTTGGGCAAGTCACATAACCTCTTAAAGCCTTTGTCACTAATCTGTAAATGAGAAGCATGATGGTACCTAACATATAAAACTATTTTTAAGGATTAGATTCAAGTTGAGTTTTCAGTACAATTCCAAATACTTAGCAACCCTGCAGGAAATGTTAGCTATTATTGCATTATCATCACTAGTACTTATTATGGGCTGAATTGTACCCCCCCTCCCCCCCCAATTTGTATGTTTAAGTCCTAACCCCTAGTACCTGAAAATGCGAGTGTATTTGGAAATAGGGCCTTCAAAGAGGTAATTAAGGTAAAATGAGATCATATGGCTGGGCCCTAGTCCAATATGACTGGTGTCCTCATAAGAAGTGGAGGTTAGGATATGGACACCCACAGAGGAAAGGCCACGTGGTGACACAGGGAGAAGGTGGCCATCTGCAAGCCAAGGAGAGAGACCTCAGAAGAAACCAACCACGCTGACACTTTCATTTTGGACTTCTAGCCTTCAGAATTGTGAAAATTAAATTTCTGTTGTTTAAAGCACCTAGTCTGTGATATTTTGTTATAGTAGCCCTAGCAAACTAATACAATACTACTGACCAAAAGAGTACATTTCTAAATTACATGTTAAACAATGTAAGATAAGGAATCTTTCTGAAAGCTACGGTGTTTGGTCTGTTTCTATCATTTTATTGCATGGAAAAATAAATCCACTGCCTGCTCTGTTCTCTAGCTCTAGGCTGCCGTCTATGGGATTTGGCTAGCCCGATGGGCCTCAGATGGAATACAGACACACAGATCACGTGGCAATTGCAACCAAGAAGCCCCAGAGCATAATATCAACAGCTCGATGATTCGGCATTTGCTCTGTCAACACTGGTTAGAGCAGCAGGCCTGGGGTGGGGGAGGCAGAGGTGAATGAGAGAGTGAGTTTCATTTTCAAACATCACTTCATTAGAATGGTTTGTGTTTTTCTCCAAGCAGAGCTAGAGATGTTGTTCATTCATTTAGTGTTATTATGGGAACAAAATCATTAAACACCATAGACTTTGTTATCCTTAAACCAGATGGAATCATGGTTTCATTAGAACCGGGGAATAACAATGCCCACACAAATGGCTGATTGCTCTTCGTGGATGACTTGTCTGAACTCCAGGTCACTCTATTTCCTTCTTAGCAATTTGGGCTCCTTTCCATTCCTTCTTCCAAACCTGTCCTCACTGACTGCTCCTCTGTCTTTTACTCTACATTTTTTCCTCTGGCAGGCCAGTATAGGCTGGGGGTGGGCACATGGACAACACTGACAACACGGAATCCAGGCCACTGAATCATCTTGTCCTCCTTTCATTAAGCCTAGGCTCTCTCCTCCAGAGATAGGTAGCAAGGACTTCCCCAGCCCCACCTGCCTCAGGAATTTCTGCAGCCATACCGAAGCCCTGAATGCTGATCAAAAGCAACAGGCCTATTGTCACTGGAGTGAAAAGAAAGGAACCTAAATGGTTAAAACGACTACCCGAGAACGTTCAGGAGGTTGGCCCTCCATAAGTGAGACCGAGGTACGTGTTTGTACATTGCACGCAGTGAGGGATGGCACTTAGTCTGAATCTCTGCAGCATTTCAGCAGGGTCGTGTGGGTGCAGGCTCCGCAGCTCAGAATAAGCGCCCCCTTACATTTTATATCCGAAGTGACTTGCTTGCCTCACTCTAGTTCTGCAACTGCTAGTCACTATTGGGAGTATCTAACAGGTGGCAGCAGAGTCCCAGCCCCAACAGCACAGAGCAGAGGGGTGTTTAGAGGCAAGAAACAACAGCTTAGTAGCCAGCACAGATACACACACTCCGTTACTTCATTTAAACCTCGAGACAACCCTGAGAGGTAGAGCAGATAGTACCATCTCCATTTACTTGGGTCAGTGACTTGCAGAGGTCTTGGGAGTAGAACTAGGGATGGGCTCTAAGTCTTCGTAGTGTCGTGATGCTCTGCCTCCCATCAAATCAGGCCCAGGAGGCCCCCTCAGGCGATCCAGAGCCTGGCCTGATCCACTCAGTACAGAGATGTGCCGCACTTTCACCAACAACCCAGCCTGCTGGGCCAGCCTCAGTCAGCCTCTGGCTGCATGGTTTCTTATCTCTCACAACAACAATTACATTTACGGAGAACTTTTATTGTTGCAGGATATCTGAAGGCTTCCCGGAACGTTCCCTGCACTGCATTTTCCAGAGAAAAGATTAGCAGAAAGCCCTTTATCTTTGCCAACAAGAGTCACCTGGTCTCTCCGGCACAATGACTGCTTTGACCTGTGTTTCCTGCTCTATCTTGCATCCAGAACAGGAGGTGCAAACAGGACAGGTTGAAGTCCCAAGCCCAGACTTTTTCCAGGGCCCTGTCAACTATGGCTTTGCCTACCTTGCTTTGGCCTGATGGAAGCTGCAAAGTAAAACCATCAAAACTGATGTTGGGCCTGGTAGGTGATTATACATTGATTTTATATTTTGTACCAAAACCTATTACATCTTGGCCTGCCTGTTTCTAGCTTACACAATAAGACATTTCTGAGTACTGGAGGTTGGCCAGGGCGACCATGCTGGAGAAAGAAAACCACGGCGTTTTGTGCTGAGCCTCCCAATCTGTGTGTCAGCGTTCTTCAGCAACAGTGACAGAGGCCAACTTCAGATGGCAGGCAATCCATGGGACTCGGAATTCCCCTAGAGGTTCCCATGGAGACTTCCCTGCGAGAGCTGCTCGCCCTGCCCTCAGGCTTGGAAGGAACAGGAAGAGCTTCAAGGAGGAAAGAAGGTCCAGAGTGGCCCGGTTGAAGCTGGGGGAGGTGACCCCAGTGCCTGCCTGGTTAGGGATGAGCCTTGGTAAGAAAAGCTGTTACTAACAATGTCTGCTGAGAGGAGCATTTCTGTGGTACACTCTCCCTAGACATATTTAAACTCCCTTGGGAAAGCCTTGGGGATCCTGAAAGAATGAGGGGCCTGCTCCAGAAGGGTGATTTCCCAATGCCATACCCAGCTGCTTCAGTCAGTCCCTGGGGACTGCTGGGGTCTGGGCCAGAGGTGGCAGAGAAGCCCGAAGGTGGAGGTGTGCCTGCCCCCAGGTCCGCCTTTGGGCTCTGATGCAGCCTAGCTGTTAGTAGCTGTCTGCTGCCTGATTGCAGGCCCAGTCACATGCCCCACAGACCCAGCAGACCCTGCAGACCTGACCTACCACTCCTGGAGTGGGAATGAAGCCCGGACAGGCTTCTAAGCGGGACTCGCTGCTGTGAGAATCTAAATGCTTGGACGAGAGGCAGGAATACTGTTGTCAGTCTGCTTGCCCTGGTGCCCTTTGTGCTGATCTGTTCATTCATTCATTCATGCAAGCGGACCTCTAGAGACCTGTCGTGTGTCGGGTTGGCCTCTAGGCCCTGGGCACACAGATGAGCAGGCCAAAGCTGCTGCTGAGTCCACAGTGGGGAGTGACTGCAGCCATGGGAGCCTGGGTCCCATGCCGAAGGATCCACTAGAGAGGGGGGGCCCCTAAGTCAGTTGTGTAAGATCAGGGAAGGCTTCCTGGAAGAAGAGACAGCTAAGCTGAGGCCTTGGGCCTAGTTCAAACCCTGGCTCCCACCTGGTCTGTCTGTGTGGCTTACTTCTTATCCTTCTGTCCAGGCTGGCTTTCCACATGTGCCACTCAGCCTCTTCCCTTTGCCGGACGTGCCCTGCCTGCCCCCCATGTCAAACCTCTTTTATTTCTAAATTGTTCTCAAGTGTTTATCCTGTGCTGGGCACTAAACTAGCAGCTTTACAAAGATGACATCACCGCAACACTCTGAGATAACGGAGTCAGTCTGCCTGCTGGGGTTCAAATCCCAGCTTGGCCATGGCAAGCCATGAGGTCTTGGGGAAGTTGGTAAACTTCTCTGTGCCTCCATTTCCATAGCTGTACGATAAGCCTAATGATAGTACACACTCCAGAGTGCCAGTATCAGAACTAAACAAATTCAGATGTGTAATGTGCTTAGAACAACATCTGGGATGTATTAAGAGCTACATAAGTATTTGCTAATATTGTTGTAGCCTCCATTTTATAGATGAGGAAATTGAGATTCAGAGAAGTTAAGCCATTTGTCCAAAGTCACACAGCTGGCAGTTGTCAGAGGCAAACTTTGAAGGCAGGATTTCTGACTACATGTCCAGAGCACCCTTTTCCATGACACCACAGCTATGTCTGCTCTATGGCTGCCTCTGACGCCAGCTCTGGTTCAGCGTTCCACCTGCTCCCATGTTCAAGGTCTTGACCTCCTGCCACGCTCAACTCTGCAGTGCCCTGCTGACCTGCTGGAGCAGCTGAGCCTATTTCGGCTCACCACGGCCCACACCTGGACGCTGGCGCACTCAGGAGTTTGGTCTCCTACTCTCTGTCTGAGCCCTGTCCACTCAAACTGGCTGTGTTTATGCAAGGAGGGGAACAGGTCGCCCGGAAAATGCTCTGTGGAGGGAAGGAGGCATCAGGAAGACAACTGAGGACACTGACACTGGAGTGCTAAAATGAGAGAGCTGTAGGGAGGTGTCATAGCAGAGGAAGGAGGGAGAGCGAGGGGACAGCAAGCAGGTGGCATGAGCTGGTACGTAAGGAAGGGTTTCAAGTAAAGGAAAAACTTTGCTTTGGGGAGGCTTTTTAATGTGACAGTTTAT